GACAAGTTATTTCTTTATATTTTCTTCATGTTTAGTCTCCAAATGAGGAGCTAAACTCTTCCATCTTGGTTTTGCTACTTTGAAGCTTAATGAATTTGTAAGTTGTGAGTTATTCTCTTTAATCTTCTTCCTTGAATATTAATTCTTCTTTTAAATACTATTTCTATATCAATGTTGGGGAGTGTTACTAAGATGACAATTAGTTAACATCTTGACATTAGTTATAGTAATAGTTATTTCTTCCTCTACGTTAATATTGGGGAGTATTACTAAGATGACAATTAGCTAACATTCTGATATTAACTATAGTAGGATTCATCTTCTTTAATATTCTTCCTTGAGTATTAATTAATTCCTATTCATATTTCATATTAATATTTTGAACATTACTTAAAGGATCAACTAGTTTTGTTTCATATATTAATTATTACTAGAATCGATCAACGAATACGCTTGTTAATCGTTCGATCGTTTCACGGTAGTAAACTTGGGTTATTAATGCATGCGTTTCATGGTTAATAAACCAATGGGAATTAATTATGTTGATTAAACCAATAAACCGCTTGTGTTGAGGTTATCAATCTCAATCGTTTTCATCTTGATTTTATTGCTACTATCGGGTTAATTAATATACGGCGCGTGTTCGATATTAACTCGGTAGTAAGTTTTAATAATGAACGCGTCTCGTTATTAATAACTACCCTCGATGAACTGGATATACTCCTCGATTGAGTATTCGAGAGGAAGATAGTTAAAGATATAACCGGGATCGACGAACATTTCATTAAGTGGATAAAAGCAAAGCCAAGTCTTCTTCTCATTAAGTAAACCACATAAGTCGTTCATCTTCGTGTTTAAATATAATTTAAGTTCATCAAATCAAACTAAAACCCCCCTTGTTACTATTTAATTAAAAAGAGAAGTATTCCTTTCCCTGCGGATAAGAACCTTACTACGCTAATACTACGTATAAGTGTTGTATTGATATTTATTTTGAGTGCACACCACGACAAAGTGCACGTCAGTACTATTATAACATGTTTGCGAAATAACACTTACATTATCATACCATGCATGTTTACACTTGCATTGTAAATGGGGATTACACTTACACTTATTATATCATTTCATGTTGAAACCATTTCAAAATTGCAAACATCTAAATACTTATAAGAATGAATTCCTAATGAACACAAATGGATTATAATAAAAACGAAAATGTAAAACCTAATTATTTTAATCCAACACACAAATTGAAACATAAAATGCAAAATAGTGAAGAGGTCTTTTAAAAAATATTATAAGGAAAAAACTTATTTACAAAAAAGACTGCAATTGCTTAGTACCGTGTAGTATAGTGTCATTGTCATTTGAGTGTAAAATTTTAAAATAAATTACTATAACTAAAGTTAAAAGGTCACCTTTTTTAAAACAATTCTTATTTTAGTCATAAATTTGTAATTATTTCAATAATTAAATTCATAAAAGTCAACTAACCAAATTAAAATAGATTTTTTTTCAAAAATATTACCAAAATAAAACATATTTCATTTAAATAAACAAATAAACTAGATTACAAAATATTTATCTTCTTGGCAGTTACTACTTAGTATTGTCTTATAAGCCTACTTAATTTTGTATGTCTGGATTCACTTGCTTGAAGTGTGAATTATTTGACTTCTATGTCTCTTCATCAATCTCACTTCATATTCACAATAGAGAACAATAGTACAACTATATTTGAAAAAAATAAAATAAAATGACAAAATAATTGGAACTATAACTAAAAATAATAATATCAAATACTCCCTTGGTTACATAAATCTTGTTCATATTGATTTTTTTGGTTAATGATGGCCAAATTTAACCAATGATATTTGTTCATATGAAATTATTTCAAATCTGATGATAAGTATATAGAAATGTTCTTTGTTAAAATATGGTGAAACTCTAAATGGGAGGGGGAGTGGATAACTTTGAAAGAGGATAAAGGGATTATAATTGAAAATCATTTTAAGGAGCTATTTACTGCTTCGGAGCATGAGCAAGAGGGATCAACACATATGAACACGATGAGTGCTAATAGAAAACAAAATAGCCAACTATTATGACTAATCTTTCCGAATGAAGTGAAGAATGCTTTGTTTGCAATGCACCTGGATAAAGAACCATGGCCTGGTGGGTGAATTCGGGGTTTTATAAGCACTTTTGAGATATAGTTGGGACAGAAGTGGCGAACTTTTGCCAGCAAGTGGTACCAAAGGAGTTGATTGTGACTAACTTGGTATTGATATCAAAGAAGGAGAAGGCTTAGGAATTAGGGGATTGGAGACTCATTGCTTTGTGAAATGTTAGTTATAAGATTTTTTAGAATTTTTGGCGAATCGAATATAATGAAAGGATGGTTGAATATTATTGTCTCAGAGAATCAAGTGCTTTTGTACATGGGTGTTCCATTGTTGTTAATATTCTAGTAGCATTTGAAACCCAACATTCATAAAAGTTAGTGATATGGGAAAGAGGGATTTGTTGTATTAAATCATGATATGAGCAAGGCTTACGATCTCAAGGTTGATATGAAGCATTAAAGCTAAAGCTTCATATCCTGATGAGGGTTGGATGTGATTAAGGTAAATGTGGGGGGGATTGTTGACGAGCGTAGGAGTGTGAGGCCCTTGAGGGTATGGGGATGGTTGGCTCAGGATGATGAAGGTAGGTTTATATATGGCAGGAGGATGTCAAGTTGGGAGAGCTACTTGGACTCCAAAGGAAGCTGAAGTGTTAGGGCTTCGGAAGGCGGCCCAGTGGGCACTAGAGATGGGGTGGCATCAGGCATTGTTCGAAATAGGTTCTTTGGTTGTTATTTTAGTGGTTCAAGCGAAGTTCGTGACTCCTGTTTTGATATTATATTAGATGATATTATAATTTTATTGAGCCAAAAATCTAATTTTGAGGTAAGGCATTGTAAGTGAGTAGTTTGTTTTATATTGATCGGGTTAGAATGTTTTATACCTCTCCGTAGTTTATTGTAAGCCATTTGGAAAGTAAACTTTTGAATTGATTAAGGAAGTTTTTTCATAAGCATAACATATCAATACATAGTGTTATTATTTTTATTACATTTATTGTTATACACAATAAAAAATTGCAATTACAAGCCAGTGTGACATACTTGAATTATAAATAGTAATCTTATGATACCTGGAGGTGGATGTGAGAACTGAAATATTGATGCACGCAAACAATGACTTGATATTGCAATGTAATAAACAATCTAAGACTTGTCATCAGTTCAAGTATATAATTGTGGATACATTTATATTGCAATAATAAGTTCAAGTATATAATTATGGATACATTTATATTGCAATAATAATTCACTACACCTACTTTTAAAAGATAGATAGTGTTGTGGTATAATATATTTCATTGGGTTGACCTTCTTTTGTCAATATCTTCCCATATGAAAGCATTAAGGACTTTAATCGTCAAATTTAGAATTCCCACCAAATAAAGGACTACACAAGTGTTAGGTCTTTCTGCGACAACATTCAGAACAATTTTATTTGTTTGCCCCACAAGCTAAGCATAGGTCCCGAATGACCTCAACACTGGTGAAAGATGGCTCAACAAATCGTTCTCCCCCAATTATAGCTTCGAGCCGTCTTGGCCATGTCATGTGTGCCCACTACAATTGTGAGAGGTGACGTTGTTTGTAAGACCCCAACTTCGCAAGATCCGAGATCGTTACTCCTAAGAGTTTTCCTGATCCAGTACTCTCCTCGCATACAAATAGACGTCTATACAGTGTACTTTAACATCACTTATGCGTACTCTAAAAAACTTACCAAGAGGTTACCGTCCAAAGACTCTCCTACAAGCACAATTAACTCTGAAGTTCTTAACAAATGAGTTCATTTTAAAAGGCATTCCTAAATATTGATATGAGTAACACATCTAACCCTTTTGAGGTATTCCTAAATATTGCAGATTGCATTGTTGCTCTTCCCCCCTCTATAATGATGTTGAGTGTACCATGAAATCCAGACATGACATTATAGACCTACAAATGACCCAAATAGTTCTCGTCATTCTTCCTCAGTCTAGGGGCTTGGCCAAAGCGATGTTGGTAGCCTTGTAGGCCCCCTTATTGTGCTTGGGACTCTGAGTCTTGGGTCCAACTCACTCTCTCAAGCAACATAAGCCGTAGGTGGGTTTTGGGTCAGTTGTTAGGATGTGAGGGCAATATCCTAATGAATAGTAAAAATATTAAAATAATACAAAACTACACAGATTTAACTACCCCTACAATAACGACAACAATAATGATGGCTGTAATTATGATGGCAGTGGTGATGATTACGATGATGATGATGATGATGATAAAATTCAAGATATTTATATTATATATGCAAATTTGTTGTGTTTATCTCACACATGTCTAGAAGTAAGAATACTTGAGTTAATTTTGTCTCAAAATAAAATAAATAATCATCACAATCTGACTAAATTTAGAAAGACAAAAAATGGTACTTTTTGTATAAAATAATTATATCTCCATCATGTGAAGCGTGAGTAACTATGATAAATTGTATGACTCTAATGTAATACACATGATAATTATATCATATCTTTTATTCATAATTTTTTGCTTCAATGATATTTTAGGAAAAAATATACGACAAAATATTTTATTTAAACATTCTTTGGTCAATTTGCCAAAAAACACATTCGTTGGTGATTTGTGACCTTTGTTTAAAACATAACAAAATTATATAAATTCGTTGTCCAAATCCAGCATCCAGGTCGTTGTAGTATAGTGGTAAGTATTCCCGCCTGTCACGCGGGTGACCCGGGTTCGATCCCCGGCAACGGCGTCTTTTTATTCTTTGTTTTCGTCCGCATTTTTTTAATTGCACCATGAAATTAGGGTTCTGAAGGCCCACGAAACTCCAACCAATCACATCTCTCGCCGTGCACTCGTTTGCTCACGTGGAATTCTCTAATTGGCTGAGTCCTGGAAGTCCCGTTTCCTTTGGATATAATATCCATACCCGCTTCCATTTTTCTTCACTCCTAACTACCTTAACTACGATCTGGAGACCTTACCTGAGCTAAAATGGCGAAATCAAAGTTTCAATCTATCGCAGTATTCGTAATCCTCTTTGGAACCCTCGCAGCTCTCTCTCAGGTTGCCTTTTAATCCCGTACTTTCTGTTAATCTTATCCGATGGGAAAAGTTGCTTATGTTTTAGTTTAGTTACCAGAATCCGATATCTACCTGGTTCATTAGACACTGATTTTACTTCAGTTTTCTCTAATTTTAGATCAGACACCCGTAGTATGTTTTTTGGTGTGACGGCGCGAGTGATCGCACTGATTTGGTATAAGAGCTTAGTATAAAGTTATCTACGCTATGTTTTACCGTCTGGAAAGCGTTCTGTTAATTTGCTCCGGATCTGCAGTTTACACTTATAGCGTTATAGTATTACTACCTCTGTCCTTTTTAAATAAGTAAAATAACCCCATTTGTTTTGTACGTTTTTTAAGAATTTGGAAACGGTGTTGCTTTAATTTGCTTAGAGGAGAGGAAAACAATTCTTATGGGGTGGAAAGTGGTAGGAATGAGGATATAAGTGGGGAAGATTTGGTATGCTGTTAAGCTATATTCAAATTTTGGAATATGTTTTCCTCCAGTCATCAGTCTTCTATGGATTGTACCCAATAGTTGAACCATTGGGGAAAAATGAATTCTTTCATTCTATAATTGATTTCTTGGTGTAATTTTTAAGGGTCATTGATATAAGATGTTAAAGTACTGTATTTCATATCCTTTTTAGATTTCAGGAACTGTGCCTTCTGGTTGTGCCGCATGAGAATTTGAATTTATATATATGGGCATTACAGCAACATTCATAACATATAAGATGAACTAGAGGATATTCTGCGAACATTAAAACATGCCTGTTTTTTGGGTGTGCAATTTCTGGAAGAAAATTACAATTAGATCATACTTTTTTTTAGTTAATCTGTTGGTCAAAATTTAATTTTGGACTCCTATGTCTGCACTTCTGCTGACTGAAAATCACATGAGATTGTAATATATGCTTCATAGCAAGCCTAATCCTGACTTTCAAGTATTTATTCACAGGCCAAAAAGTCTCAGAAGTCACACGAAAGTTTAAAAGAAGTTACTCATAAAGTATACTTTGATGTTGAGATTGAAGGAAAACCTGCTGGTATGCTCTGTAGTCTTTGTTCGTGCATTGATATGAATGATCTTGAATGATTTCTCTATAGCACTCTTCAATATTGAATAAAATTAATTAGTAGACCAATAACAGCACAAGGTCATTCATTTTTCAGGCCGTGTTATCATTGGCCTCTTTGGAAAAACTGTTCCTAAAACAGCAGGTGTGTTTAAATTTGATGGGTATTGTGCTTTCTATGTATGACCATCTCCAGTAGCTTTTGTAATTCTTTTTTTTTTTGTTTTTGTTGCAGAAAACTTTAGAGCATTATGTACAGGTAGTGTGTCTCAGCTGTTCTCAGCTGTTTTCCATAGTTATTTCTTTCTGACATTTGTTATGGTTTTTTCTTTGTCATTCAAAATTCCAATTTTTTTTTTTTTACAAATTTTTCAGGTGAGAAAGGCATAGGAAAGAGCGGCAAGCCTCTGCATTTCAGAGGTAGTAAATTCCATAGAATTATCCCTAGCTTCATGATTCAAGGTGGCGACTTTACCCATGGTAATGGCATGGGTGGAGAGTCGATTCATGGGGAGAAGTTTGCCGATGAAAATTTCAAGCTCAAGCACACTGGCCCAGGTGCCACCCAATGTTCTCTAAATTTAATTTAGCTTTTGCATCACAAGGAGTCATATCATCATATGGAAGTTCTTTTTTATGATCTTTGCAGGAATCCTTTCAATGGCAAATGCTGGTCCTGACACCAACGGTTCACAATTCTTTATCACAACTGTCACAACCAGCTGGTTAGTTAGTACTCCTCTCGCCTGCATTGTTTCCAAATACATTTATTTGTGAATACATCAGACGACTTCCCTATTTCTCCCTTTGAAGCTCAGCCTCTAAGTTTATTTTAGATATTTGCTCAAACTCAATTGTTTTACTATTCGCAAACGTCTAAATAAAGTCACACTAACATCAAGGAGGAAGTACTTATATCGTTATATGTTATTCCCTATTTGTTTACTTTGAATTTTATTCAGGCTGGATGGAAAGCATGTTGTTTTTGGGAAGGTGTTATCTGGGATGGACGTGGTATATAAAATTGAAGCAGAAGGGAACCAGAGTGGTACGCCCAAGAGCAACGTTGTAATTGTAGACAGCGGTGAACTCCCACTATGAGTTATTATCAAGTTCGTTTAGCAGCAAAGCGTGTGGTATTTTTGTAGTGCCACTTTAAATTACTCCTTACCATTCCAAATATGTGCTACTTGCGGCATGGAATTGATGAGCTACCATTTTGATTTAGTTAAGCTTGATAAAGTTTTCTGCGGTTTCACTTTTGATAGAAATGGTACTTTCACTTCCCCAAATGCGATCAGAATACTAGTTTTGCTAGTTGAATGTTCATTGTAATTTTCCAAGTATATTTTGTAAGTTTGCAAGCATAAATAATCGTAACATATTTCGGTAGGTTTTTAAGGAAAAAGCTAATCTATAATCAATAAAAAGTATTGTTTGCCAGAAGGCTAGGAGGATGATCAAAAGGAACTTCACAATCTCAAGTCTCAATTAGAAACTAGAAATTGACAGTCCATCAAAGGTGAGCAACATGGTTTGCAGATTATTTGTGATCCATCTCAAAAGTACCTCTTATATGCGAGCGAGCAACTAACTCAGCTGCCACAGTCTCGTGCCAAGCACAAATAAATAGCCTCTCTTCATCTCTATTCTCTAGTGTGCCACACCACTTCCATGACTCACCATCTACATCTACTACAGTGATACACCATAGGTTTTGTCATTTATATAGTCCCTGATTATCTATTTCTGCTTTAACATGCTTCTGCCTTGCATTCCACCTATCTGAGTTTGTATCCACATCACGAAAACTCATGTGTCAGATATTTTATGATACCCGTATGGCCGTATTGTATGTAGGGGCGGACCTATAGTATTAAGAGGGTAAGCATTGGCTTCACCTCAAAGAGTTCTACTAGCTTATATGGTAGTAGTATGAAAATTATAAACCCCATTAGGCTACAGGTCAAGTGTTCAATTCTCCTTAAGGCTACAGGTCAAGTGGGCTACAAGTCAAGTGGGTTTTTTATTTTTTATTTTCTTTGCTGGACTGGACTGTAAGGTACATGTACATAAAAAAATTCAGATTATACTACTAAGTGTTATATATGTGCATACACTGAATCCGATGCCTAGGTCCGCCACTGATTGTATGTATTTGGGCCGTAAATGAAATTTATTAAAAGTTTTCATTTTGTTGCAATTATTTTAAAAATCCAATACACTTATCCTAATAGATACACATATCAACTTTTTATTTATAAAGAAAGCACACAATAATTAAATAATACAAGCATTAAAAAATTAAAAACTACAACTAAAAACTAAATTTATCTATATCCCGCACACAATCCCGACTAAGAGTATCTTCGGTAGTGGTGGACTCGGGTCGGGCCATCCGGCCCGTGAATAAGCCCGGCACGTGAATCGGCCTGGCCCGTGAATCGGCCAGGCCCGCTATTTTGTAGGCCCGGGACCGGCCCGGTTCACCGGTCCGGGTACCGGGCTTTGACCCGGCCCGAGGGGGAGGCGGTTCCGGGCACGGTGCTGCCTAAATGAGACCCGGCCGGGCCAGGTTCGGGCCAAAATCAATTTTTTGTTTCATTTTTTTTATTCCAACGGGTTGGGCTAGGTGCTTTGGGGGGGCGGGGTTTGGGGGTGTGGGTGACAGGGGGGATTGGGGGTTAATTAGAAAAAGGGGAAAAAAATATAAAGATGCCCGAGGCTCGGCCCGGCCCGGACCCGGTAGCAACCTGGGCCGGTCCCAGACCCAACTATTCAGAACCGGCGGCCCGCCCGGGCCTAGGACTGGCCCGGACCCGACCCGAATCCACCCTTAAATTCTTTGGTAAGATGTTAACATTAATAAATGTCAATATTGCTTGTTTTATTTATGTCTCCAATGCAATACGTGTGTAGCCATACGATGCTGGTTTGTCAAAGACACTGTTATCATGACTGTCTTGGGAAAACATAGTCTTTGACATGCTGAGTCAGCATATTTCACTAGAGAAATGTCGTAAAAATGTAGAAAAATTTTGAAAGTTCTACCATCCACAAAAAAATTATACCCACCGAATCAAGATTGCCACCCACAACATATATGTCCAACAAGTGGGTTTCTTTTCTCTTCCACAAAATACTTTGTGCCTATCAAGATGAAACACTTCCACCTAACAGATTTGTGTTGGGAAAAGTTTTAATTTCTTATATACGAAGTATATGTTTTCCCCCACGAATTTTCTATTTTAAAATTACTTCTTTTCTAAAATGAATTTCACAATCACATGTTCTGATCTTTCTATCTCTGCCGGACTGCCGCTTGCTAATTCATTCTTTTTAATCGAACATGGAAGTGGTTTGACATGCAGTTGTTGATTTTTATTTTAAAAGCAAAAAACTTACACGTAAACATCTATATTGCTGGTTAACAGAGAGAGCATTGGACAAGATTTTTGAATTCCACCGTCTATGATGTGGATGAACATTCCATTTATTGATTGACATGTGTCAAAATTTATTCCATGTTAATGCCGTAGAGAGTCGCAACAAGTCATAAGCGAACACATAATCTATTCCAATGATCCACTCGGGCGGTTTTTATCTTTTATCTTCAATACTTTGACTTTTCTTTCAACAACTAAGTATTTGACACATCATTTAGATTGTTTTATTTGGTGGGGTGCGCCGGGCCATGGCAGCCGTGCAACGCCAAGGCGACGCCCGAAGACCCAGACAACAAGCTGCTTTAGCGGGCCTTCCCCCTTAAAAAATTGAGTTAATATCGTGTGGGCTAATAGCCCACATATCAGATATTAAACTGATAAAAACAGATACTTCATTTAGATTGTAAAATACGAAGAAAACAGAATCCCCCTACGGAATGCACTTGAATGTCCAGAGGGCATTGGGTTTCAGTAGGTAGTTAATATCAAGAATTGAAATATGTGTACATGGACGGTTAATTTTCAAATTATGGTTGTAGGTGCACCTTATTTCTCATTTGGGATAAGATTAGTGACTAATGGACTACATTCATATTTCGAGATGCATGAGTGTATATGAGATTGAGTATGAACTTATATTTAACTTTCTTGATAATGTGAAATGTCTGAATGTCATGACTGGGCGGAGGATGATATGTGTATACATTTTCAAATAAGTTTTTGTAATTTTTAATATTCATAAATGCATCCCATAATTTGTAATATTTACAAATATACTCATGTATCCGAATCCTATATTGTTTTTTATGTTGTCTTACCTTGAATCCGTTTCCGTGTTTCCACCATAGCTATTAGCCTATCATTGCGTTTTCTAAAAGCTATCCAAACCCAACTAGATAAGCGTTCTCCCTTCCACACTAAAGGAGTGTTTGCAAAAAAACTAAGAAAAGTGTTTTTCAGCTTTTGGCTTTAAAAAGCTGAAATTAGCGTTTTCAAGTGACAGTTTCTAATTAAATTAAATGATTAAAAACTAAAAGCTAGAAGCACGTAGATGAGTGTTTTAAACTGTTTTTCACTTTTTTTCACAAAAAGAACTTATTTTATCAAACACTACCAACTTTTACTTTTTCAGAAGCATTTTTTCTCAAACATTATAACTTTTACTATTAAGCATTTTCCTCCAAAATCACTATAAAAAATTACTTATTTTAAGTAGAAGCAATCACAAACAATCCTTAAATTATTGTGATGCTATTGATCCCATAGTAACATAATAGGTCTATATAAACTTCCCTCCTACATGTGACTTCACACAGTTTGAAGTCATTCCCTCAAAGGCAGCTCCCCCTAGAGAACACAAACCCGCCTTGGCAAGATTTTCCTTTGCTGCACTACAATCCCAACACAGACTTATAGCAGACTCCTCAGTTCTCACCCTCAAGACATACTTTATAATTCGCAGGCAAATTAACTCACTTAGTCTTGAGTTTTCCAGTCCCATAGAAACTTCTTACTAAGCGATATATTTAATGGTAGATATACTTTAATCTACCCTTCATATCATTAATCCACTAAAACCCATCAGCCACATTTCTTTTACTAAGCAATATCTTTAACATCTTGTCACTCTCCTCTGCAAATAGATCTCCATTCTGACCGAGTTCTACTCATTCGCACTCTCCGTCATTAGAGCAGCCACGTTCATATCATATACTACCATCGGCCGGTAGATTGAATCCTCCCATTACCGTGACCTGGCAGCTAAGCTTCAAACATGGCAGCTAAGCTTCCCATTAGCAACCCCTTTTCAGCAATATGAGACAACCACATCTTGTGTTGCAGCAACCCCACATCTTGTCTAAGGCTGCTGGCCTTAAACATCCTATCAACCAGTGGATTTGTTTCCCTTGAAAGCCGTTGTCAAATTCCTTGAGCTTCTTGAGCCATACTCCTCCATACACTTTTGGAATGCACAACGTTTCCTTTGCATCAGTAGTCATTCATAATTCTTTCGATCTCGTTACACATCTCCTCAAGTAAAAGAATCACATTCATGGAACATGTGGGCATGACTTGTATAACCCTTTTGACAAAACCTCCCATCCACCACACAAGATAAAACAATTATTCCATCTATGCAATTGTTTTATCTCTTTCTTTCAAAAACTATTTCTCTTTTTCTTTTCAGTCCGCGAGTACTGACAACCCCATGTACGGATGTATCTATTTGTATTAACCCCACAATTTACACTTGGCATAGAACACATCCTATCTAAGTGTCAATGTCAACGTTTACAATAACAACATTACCTCAGTGTCGTAAAGGCTCTCAACTACGGTATAGTAAGGGGGTCGAATGTACGCAGCCTTATCCCTGTACTAAAATACATGGAGACTGTTTCCGGATGATCCATGATGAAAATCGCGTCAAAAATTGCACGGACTAGTTGTTGTTTCATAACAAAGAAGCGTAGACAGTTTAGTAAGCCATTTTAGTTTATTTCATCATAATCCCAACCCAAAAAATAATGAATCTTTGACTCTATTGGTAATGATGAAAATGTCAATGTCAACGTTTGCACTAGCAAATTTACCTGATATATCATTGTTTATAATATGTTCCAACTCCTCAGGTTGCTTCATATTAGCTCAATATCTCGATGCCTTAAAGGCAAAAAGCAATAGTCTCGAAAAAATGGGTCTAAAATTTTGAGGGACCCCCATATCTGGAGCAAGGCACTTAGCCCCTCGATCACAAGTATGGAAAGATATGGGGGTCAAGGATCTCCCTCTCCCTCTTGTAGTCCTCCATTTTGGCTTGATTGGACCCAAAACCTTTCCAAAAGGAATCATATACACAGTTGTTATTTGTTAGGAACCCCATAAGCATATTTACCTCTTTTTTTTTTTTGCATATTTACCCACCTACATTTGAGCCTTAGCTTTACCATAATAGATTCTGAAAACATCTTTTTTATCTTGTTATCCTATAAATCCTTCTTTACCATGTTTCTTCCACTTCAGAAACTGGTGCACCTCAAACGCGATCATCACATTGTCCACAATCGACGTGCCTCATACAAACGCACTCTGATTCTCTCTACAATTCCATCATTCGATACTTCAACTGTCCAAAATTTCAGGGTGGTCAGATGTCCTCAAAATTTAAGGGTGGTCAGAAGAGGGAAGTAGTCAGATGTCAGTGTCCATATGAGCTCACTGGACAACGCGGTATCCGGCTTAAGAACTAATTGCTCCCAGCCCGGAACATGTCAACCCCTAGTAAACTCACTTTTCAAGCCTTCAGATGCATCAATCAATTATAGAGTAAAAAATATACAGATAATCCCAGAATTGCTTTCATTGTTAACTCTGTCATAACATTGTTACATCCATACATGATATTTAAAGAAGTGTGAATATATATGTATAAGTAATAATATGGGAAAAGATTAATGGCAAAAAGATGTCAGTCTCACCATGCCACAACCTAAGCCTAACTAGATTTATACTCCCTGGATTACAATACAAGAGAAAAGTGTAGCTAGCAAACATGAGGTTGAGCTATTAATTTGTGAGATATTCCGACATTCACTCGTCATCACTATCTGGAGTATCCAGGAAGCTTAAATTTGTTTGTCCTCGAAGCTTGATGAGCAATGTTCCCCTATTCTCCTCACTCCACTCAATCCCTTCATTATCTAATAGATTCAACACCTGTGCGCCAATTGCAGTTAATAATAAGAGTACAAAACTGACAAGGCAGAAAATGTGTAGGTTAAAGATTTATAGGGTAACCAAGTAAAATAGGAAGAAAAAAATGTGTACTCTCTCCCATTAGGTTTTAACAGCTGAACCTGCTGAATTGGACATATCTGTTGGGATTCTCTAGACTATGTATTTAAATCACTTTTTGAATAAATTAAAGAAAATTATATATCTCACATAGAAGGTTAAAGTGCTGTTTTAACTAATTGAAGCCAATTCCTTTTTAGGGAATCCCGGTGCACGAAAGCATCCCTGCAGGGCGAGTGACCAGGGAAGGATCCCATCACAAGGCTCTATAAGGAGCAAGGCATTCACTTGTCAAATTTTGGCAAGAGGCCACTCTCAAGACTTGAACTCGTGACCTCTCGGTCACACAACAACACATAACCGGGGCACCAAGGCTCCTCTCCTACACCAAATTAGAAACCAATTGAGCAAAAAAAACTTTGGCACGACTTTTTAAACCATCAGCCAATTCAATCACAGCACAATGATATACTCCCTCCGTCCCTTAAAACTTTGCCGCCTTCCCTTTTAAGTAAAGAATTTGTGGTTCCAGTTAATTCTCTCTCCTCTGCACAAACCTCAACCACACAGTTTTTACTACTAAACGTTGTATCGGTCAAACTTGGCCAAGTTTTAAGGGACGGAGGTAGTATGTTGTTGTCTCATAAAAATATGGCACATAAGGCTGATAGGCTGGAAAAAAATACCTACCAAATAGGAACTAATGCCCCCCCCCCCACACACATTTTCGAAAGCCTAGAGTGAAGAATTCATATATATATATATATATATATATATATATATTTCTAGGACACTAGGCTAGGTATATATTTGACTTTTATGTGACACAAGTGTAAAATGTATTTTTGCATTGTACCGCGAGTTTGAGCTTAGACTTCCCAAGTCCTTGTCCCCCGCATCCGGTGATTACCCTGAATGACCGCACAGCTGGAAAAGCAAGAGTTGACTACTTATCAATCTATAGTTTTTTTAGTGACAGTTCAAGCACTCTGGGTCAAAGATAATTACAGCGTCCATATGCACCAAACAGAAGGTGAAGCTTCAAGAGCCTCATTGCTTGTTTAACATGCTGCCCATGCAAGTCAATTGTAATCACATTCTCTATGCTCTTATTTCTGCAGAAACGAATATTACATTTGCGATCATTATAACTGTTGGGGAAGGACTTGCAGAGAGAAACAAATAAAATCACCTGGCTTCAAAAATATTCTGACTGGCCTTTTCCTCAGCCTCCAAAGCCTTTTTGTTTTGTGTCCTACCCTGTGAAATGGTCAAAATGTACAATAATTTTATAAGCTAAGCACAAACATGAAATTCCTGACATAAAGACGCCTCATGTGAAGGCCACCATTGCACATACCTGATCAGCAAGATAAGCAGCATATTGCCGTTCACCATTTGAAAAAGCTGATGCAGCCTACAAAAAAACCGAGCTTACAAGCTTTGAGTGTATATGTTTTTAGTCATATCCAAGTTAATTATATATACACATAAATAGAACCTTTTGATAGTATGACTTCATTGATTCCCAGTGACGCATTGAAGCTTCTCTGAAAATCTGGTAGTCCTCTCCTTTAGAAGCTACAAAATTGGAATATTCAGCAACAAAAAGTAGTTAAACCAAATCCACCCCCCCCCCCCCCCAAAAAAAACATGAAAATACACATTTTTATAAGTGATTGGTGTTAGGGCATTTCTTTTAGTTTGAAACGGAAGCTGTGGTGGGGCGGGTGTGAGGAAAGGTATGCCTCTCACATATCTCATGCTTTTCTTCATGGTTGCTACCCTACAAGTTGGCTCCATCTGAGGCCTGAAGATTTGAGGATCTCTATGGATGGAGGATTTATAAGTCCTTTGGGGAAGAAGGCTTAGATACACATGTATACAGTTATACACACACATGATATGGCTCCAGTGTGGGGCGCTTTAATTCCTTCTCCACACACACACATTGGATGGAGGATTTATGACTCCCTTTGGAGAGGAAGGATATTATAAACAGTGTGGGTCTCTCTCTCTCTCTCAGACACATGTAGGCCGGTGAGGTGCTAATCATGGATAAAGATGTATCTTTGGTCCGCTGTGCTGCATTTTTTATGCTTTGAGTTTTGAATAATGCATTGTTCGCGATGTCTGAAAATTTGGTTTAATTACAAATACAGGGACTTCGCTTTTTATCAAACTTTCTGCATTGTTAACATCTCTCTCTCTCTCTCTGTGTGTGTAGGGGTGGGATCACATACAAACCAGTCCTCCCATGCTAACCTACAAACTGTCACAAACTGTGCATCTTTACATTATTTCTATTGCATATTGAAGTTCAAAGTAGTGCATATTATTTGTATTGCATATTGAAGTTCAAAGTGTTGCATATTATTTGTATTGCATATTGAAGTTCACAATGTGCATCTTTACATTATTTATATTGCATATTGAAGTTCAAAGTATTGCATATTATTGAGTTTGTAGGTTAGTATTTTAAACATATATATATATAGGGGAAAGATCAAGTACAAAGTGTGCTTATTGTGCAAATATTTGTACGATGCACCTTGACGTTATTTGCATTGCATATAGAGGTTCAAAGTATTGCACATTATAAAGTCATAAAAATAACAGTTGCACATTAAGGTGCAACGAGTTGCACCCTAAAAAGTTGGGTTTTATTACAAAAATGCCACCTTGCCTTTATGTCCTTTGGATCAACTCATCGGACGGTCAAGATGAGTTTGTACTTTGTAAATTAAGAAGGCTTTGTATTTGATCTCTATTCTATATATATATATATATATATATATATATATATATGTTTATATTTATACGTATGAAGGTATTCAATGCATACCCATCCAGGGATCGATACAGTTTCTTTAGCTTGAAGTGTAATAATGTTAACATATTTTTATGTTGGCCAAAATGATTTTTAACGGTTTGTACCTATTGTATCTCAAACACACACACATATAGCATGCAAGTACAAGACTTCATAATAATAATTCAAAGACCTAATATATGATCATTTCGTACATTTTATTTGTTTTAGAAAACAGTCTATTTGTCAAGATACAGACGTGTAAATATCATCCACTCAAACATACCATTAAGGTATATCATACTAGTAAATAGAAAAGACAACCAATAGAATCACATATACTCCAATGAAGCTAAATATAGCATTAAGGTATATCATACTAGTAAATAGAAAAGACAACCAATAGAATCACATATACTCTAATGAAGCTAAATACCATAGTTATGAACGTGCGTAACACCGCTAGCAGGGGAAGGTTCAGAGTTGAGTCCCAATGATGTCATTTTTGTCACCACATCTCTCCATTTTACAGTGCCCGGTACATGTTCAACTGTCTTCAGGGTGGGCACATTAAACAAGGATTTGAGAACGTCCTTTGAGACTTGTGACTCTGAATTTCCCTGGGGTGGTGAAGAACGTTCTATCTCATGCAGCAGTTTATGTTGATCCCTGAAATAAAGAGGAATTATATTTTGAAAGATCATTGGATACAATTGGAAGTCAGTAAGAAGATCTTGATGTATTATCTATCCAATCATATAGCATTAATGTCATTATCAAACAAGTGGAGAATGATTCAAGCATTAATGTCATTGCTAAAATATGCACATGTCTTTATTCCTACAATTTCCTAGTAGCCTACATTTTTGTAAGTTTGCACTTTGCAGCACTATTTGGTAAAATGGCATATGAGAACAAAATCTTATAAGAGTGTTGGACTTCAATACAAAGCAAATTACAATTACAAAATATAGAGTCTAACCAATTGTAGCCAGTACCACTTGGTAAACCAATTGGTAAAAATCACATGCAGTACCATGCCAGTTTGGTAGCCAGGATCCATAATTAAATTTGCTGGACACTGGAGGTGGTTATATTAACATGTATGAGAGCTTTTTGAAGATGCCCGGAGAGACATAATCTGCAGTATCTAAGTACATATGACATACATCCTTACAATGTAGTACCCCACTCTAACGTAAAGACTAAGGGGTTGTTTACTTTGAAAGCACAACTTATTTATTCAGTCAAAAAATGACTAAATCATTAAACTGTCATTTAGTAAGACTTCCCATTAAGAGGCCTATCAAGATGTCTACTCAGCAAATTTTTTAAGGGAAAAGGGGAAAATAAGCCCTCGAACTAACCAAAAAAGTGCAAATAAGCCCTTATATAGGAGGTTCTGTCCGGACGTCGCCATTTGGGAGGTTCCCGGTGGAATTTTTTTATGAAATTGTTTGAGCATCTTCTTAATAAGTCTAGTTTATCCATACCAAATTCCAACTAAAAATTCATCGGGAAGGCAGTCAAATGATTTTTTGAAGATAACTGCGCAATTAAACAGCGCAGTATATTTCAAAAAATCATTTGACTTCCTTCCCGGTTGAATTTTTAGCTGAAATTTGGTATGGCTAAACTAGAGTTAATGAAAAAGATGCTCAAAACATTTCATCAAAAAATTCCACCGGGAACCTCCCCAAATGGCGACGTCCAGACAGAACCTCCTATATCAGGGTTATTTGCACTTTTTTGGTTAATTCAAGGGCTTATTTGTCCCTTTTCCCATTTTTAAAAATCTATTATGATGTATTTTAATAAATAACATTGTTCATTGATAATATAACGCAATAATAATATTAAATTGATTATTTTACTCAATTCAGTCTGTTTATTCAGCACACAAAATAAGCAGCCTCATATACCAACATCACTTAATCCATCTTAATCCAGAAACAGGACGTAATAGGAAAAACATGTAAACAGCCTTTAAAAGAGCTCGAAGAGCTATTAATAGGAGCATCGTGTAATGGAATCCTAGAATGATGGGTAATGGTCGTAACATTGTATCTCATTAACTTCCACCACCAAGTTAGTTGTGGACTGAGTAAAGCCTGTCTTGGTAACTGTTAGACCGACTACTAGGTAGACCTTGCCCACATCATGGAAAGAGTTCATGCCTATGTTAAATGTCCCACGCTGGATATGTTTGGATGAACAAAGTGCTATATTAACACACGGGCTACTCCTTCTATCAGGGGTTGACCTTTTAGGATGGAACCCCGAGTCTTAACATGGTATCAGAGCCAAATTGATCCATGGTGTGGGGAACCCTTATGAAAAATGATGTCACGATTATAAAAACGGTCGGATGAAAAAAAAAACAGACCGATGAAAAAAATGAATGATTGCACGATCCAGACGAAGTGTCTGATCGTGAGGAGGGGTGTTAAATGTCCCACACCAGATACATTTGGATGAACAAAGTGCTATATTAACATCCCGGCTACTCCTCCTATCAGGGGTTGACCTTTTAGGATGGAACCTCGAGTCTTAACAACCTACTGGAACGCTGGAATGACCCCATGGGCTGACCTCGACGTCTAGCAAGTATGAAGCCCAAAAAAGTTTAAAGAAAAACGGACATCCAACATAGATATGCCACTATATTTTTTGGATGTATCTAAACTGCTAAAAACAATTACCAATTAACTCAATAAAACTTTAACCCATTGATTCCAACATCATTAGAATAGAGGTGATAAGGTGGTAGTGGTAATGATGATAATGGATAATAATTTTTTTAGTATAAATGTATAATTATCCTCTAAACCAAAGTTATCCCAAGCAACACAAAAATGTGGTGATGACATAATATGCAGTGATGAAATAGAAAACACAGGTACCTGGATGGACTTCCAGCGTACAACATTTGTTCTTGAATGTTGCTTTTAGATGAGTGCGAAGAACAGAAAATTCTGTCGGTCAACTGCAAAAATAGTAGCATACTAGCATCAGACAAAAAGATGGTCCCGTTATTACTATGATATGTGATAAATAGAGAGATGGTCTTGAACATCATATTTTGGGAGGACAAGAGATAAAGAATATGCCTGACTGTCAGATTAGAGATGCTAAACAGTCATCAAGATGATAAATAACTCCCAAGCTTGCAAGTGGAAATGATCTCAATAATATATATTGCCATTGCCATTCATTTAACAATGAATTTTCTTTATTAACTGTTGATTGAATTGTGGTACACTTGGCAAGCAAATAATTAACTGTACAATCATGTGAGGCCAAATAGAAAGAAAAAGCATAAAACAGTCGCTTACTAAATCACTTGCAGGTAACAAAGCTTCTTCTCTCTTATCAGATTGCTCAATTGGTGATGATGATAATTCGAGCAAAATGTTTAGAGCCTGGAACGTCATTAGAAGTAATTGGGGGAAAATATCGTTACTTATATGATCAGAAGTGATGTCAAATAGGTTGCAGCTGTACACAAATGACGCTTACAACAACAACAACATCCAAGCCTTAGTCCCAAAAGATTTTGGGGTCGGCAAAGTCTAACAGTTGAGTACCTTATAAAAATCATATCCACACTGACCTGCAATAAATAAATAAATCCAAACGCAGAGCAATAATATAAATCCATCAGCAAAAAACTCAATGCAAAATTTTATGAGCTAATAAACAGAATGATATAGTTTGATTGCCAAAAAATCCCACAAAACCTAAAAGAAATATACATTATGAACAAGCTTTCAATACTTCAATGAAAGAAGAAGAAGACAGATAAAAGAACTCACAGAGCACATCTCTAACCACAGCTAAACTCAAATGGCAATCATCTCCCAGCATCGAGCATAAAAACTGCTCAGATTCTTCCTTGCAGTAGCTTTCCAAACTAAACTTCTTCTGTCCAGACGATTGATTCTTTGGCAGAGAGCTCACATAGTCCTTCCCCAGCACGGTGGAAACTGTCCCAGCAGAAGCTACAACCTTCTTCATCTTACTCTTTTGCAACACCCTGTATTGAGCACACTGGTCCTCTCCAGACAGCTCGGATGAACTCGAACTCGCATACCAGCTCGAGATCGACGAGGTCGTGCTTTGATCCTCCGCAGTTTCCCCTAAATTCCCGAGAATCTCGGCGGCCCTGTTAAGGTCACCATTAGCTTCCCTGTAAGCTGATGCAGCTTCGTCAATCGAAACAGAGGCGAACGGCTCCAATAATCTCCTCCACATGATCTCTCCATCAGGTGGAGAATCTCCGAAATTGCTAACCTCGCATTCCTTAGGAGCTTTGGGTCCCTTCATTTTCTTCTTCTGGTGCTTCATCTTCTGATTATTTCCAGTAAATTATATAGTACTCCGTATATATCTTAAATGATACAACAGAAGAGTTCAATCTAACGGCTATTTACAGATAATTTAACTAGGAAGCTACCAAAACTGAGGTCCGTTCTACACAATACAAAACCCTAACTTAAGTTCATCCAACGATGAATGAACTTGACTAATCCAAAAGAAGAACGACGCTGGATCATTGCCGGTGAATAAATATCAAAATGCAAATTTGTTAGTTGAAACATTAAGACGGGTGGAATGGCGGAGGATCTACAGAAACCCTAATTCGGGAAACGGGATATGAGGAGATCGGGTAGCTTACACGTTTAATTTTTATATCTAAAAACTTTCCAACATTCCAACGGTTTATGGAAGGGGAAGAAAGTTTTTGGGTATGATGAAGGAGCGGAATCTGAGAAAAATCCGCTAGGCGTGGTGGAGCAGTGGCTGCAAAAATATTGATAGGTTAGAAAGAACAGAATATAATCGGGTATAGGCTCATGGCTCATGCGGGACGCAACGGTAACTTTTGGGAGCGTAAACTTAGGAAAGGCAAGGATGTTTTTACTTTTGGAGGACCGTTTTCAGGTCCGCACTAGATCAGATCTGAACATATCAAATTAGAATAATCAAATTAGATCAAACCAATTCAAATTAGATCAACGACTTCTATAATTATAAAATACACAGAGACCGTACATTTATCAGATCAAACTAGAACAGTTCAGACCAGATCAGATTTAAACAGACCAAACCAGACCGTCAAATTTCAATCCAAGTAAAAACATTCTAAGTCCTCCAAAACTATGTTCTCTAGGTTATTGCAAAATTGGCCTAAATAAGACTATATATTTTTTTTTCACTTTTTTTTTCATTTTTTTTTTACTCCAGGGGGGCTGGGGGAGTGGGGGGGAGCCTGGAGTAATCAGGGCTGAAACTCACTCCATTGAGTTTCACACCCTTGTGTGCCTAGCGGGATTCGAACACTAGACCTCTCGCTAGACACGGTAACCTCGCAACCAGCTAGGCTGGAGTAAGCAAAAAGCAATTTTTTGCTTTCGCGCGCTGAATTGTGTAATAAGCAAAAAGAGTAAGATTGTAGTTACTTTTCTGGCTGTATCGGTTGAAGTTACTGTAGATAACAATTTTAGCTATTTTTACATATAACTTTGTCTTTATTTTAACAATAAAATTTATTTTGAAAATAATTTTTTTTTCAATCAGCAGAATCAGTCAATACTGCCACTTCAGCTAGAACTTCATAAATTTCAGCAGAATCAACCAAATCATTCGATTTTCGTGACACCAAACGGGTTGTAAATTACTTCTTGTAAAGTTGTGAGTAGTGATAATGGTGATATTTTTTCCTTAATTTGGCAAATGATATAAATAAGCCTGATCCGGTCTGAACTGAACTACTTTGATATGGTAAATATTTGATCTCTGTCTATTTTACAACCGTGGAAGTCTGGTCTGGTATGAATCTGATCTGATCTGGTGTGTGTTCTGGACCTGAAAAACCGTCCAAATAAAAATATCATATATTTGGAAGGTAAAAAGGTATTCAAAATTAATCAATATAGGTGAAGAAATCATGCCATAAATCATTTAATAAAAACTACGAAGTAAAAACTTTGTAGTAAATAAAAGTATATTAAACCATCGATACAGACCACTGTTTATGATCAGTCTATTTTGTAAAATTAGGGTTGGTTTACAAATGTTTTAAAAAAACACTTCTCAAGTTTTCGCTTAAAAAAACAATTTTTTTACCAAACACTATCAACTTTTATTTTTCTCGGCTTTCGTGTCAAAAGTGCATTACTTTTTGTATTACACAAAAAACACTTATTTTATCAAACACTACCAAATTTTACTTTTCAAAATCACTTTTTTTTTCAAATACTATCAACTTTTATTTAATCACTTCTCCACATTTCATTAAAAAAACACTTTTTTTAAAGTCGAAATTGTTGCAAGTAGACCCTTAGTTTCTTTAGCAACACATACCATATTACCATCTCCGTGTCTTAATCGGCCCAAATTTACATACTCGCCCTGTTTGAATTTTGGCGGATCGGGACCAAACTGCTGCTTATAGCAGCGTTTTCCTTCACAAAAAACGGCGGATTGAAACATAATACGCCATTACCATTACCCAAATGAACTCACTACCTCCGTCCCGAAAAGGTTGCCAAAGTTGACCTTCACGTGGATTAATAAAGTAAAAACTTTTTAGTTGAAATTTGGGCAGAGGAGAGAGAATTAACTTTAGTCCCACATTTCTTACTTTAAATGGACATAGTCAATCTTTTTGGAACATCCAAAAAAAGAAATTTGGTCAACCTTTTCGGGACGGGGAGTATTTTTCTCCATACAAACTGACCTTGCCGCAACACAATTTTATTAGTGTAGAGAACCGCTCAAAACTTGTCTTCTTCTGCAGTCGCCACTTCGGCATTTTTCCACAATGAAGCTGACTCATCTTCTGCCGCCCTTTTCACACTATTGACTTTCGGTTCACACAATGACTATAACTAAGGATGGCGATGGGGGCGGGGACCCGTGGGGAACCGCCCCGCGGGGGAAGGTTGGGGCGGGGCTTGGGGCAGGGTAGGGACGGGGATGAGTGAAATAGTTTTACGCCGTTAAAATATGGGGCAGGGATGGGTATTGCTACACCCGCCCCGTCCCCGCCCCGTCCCCGTTATAAATATACACTTAAACATATATATCCACATATATAAAAATAATGTACACACATATTAAATTAAATTATATGTAGTATATAACAAACGCATATACATATAGACATACATAATTGTATACGGTTTAATCATGATTAATGAATTAATACATATTATAATAGAATAATAATAAGCTAGCTAGTAATATTAACAATATTTATCATAAATGTTATATGAGTTTTAAGAGTGAAAAGTGAGTAAATAAATACACACACATTTATATGTAATATAATATGTAATTAATTGTATAATAAGTGTTGAGAATTTTGAAACAATGTACATGATGATAATATGTTTACCTATATTTTTACTTTAATTGTCTTCAATTCACAAAACTTATTCAAAATGAGAATTATTAAAATTGGTGGTATTAACTTTTAACAAACACAATACTGCAGTGTTGCGTGTGCGTGTGTATCATATATTACTGTGTGCGCGTAGATATATATAGGTTTAGGATCAAATGAGAACAACGCTTAACGTGAGAACGTGTGAACACCACATTTACACCCAATGTGAAACACAATGAACTTGCACAATGAACTTTTTCGTATCTAGCATGAGTTTTTCAAAAGTGGCACCGTGATTATTTATATTAGCTTGTATTGAGCAAGTCCAAATGTGCACTAGAATGGTTCTGTTGTGTATCACATTGGATTATTGTGTATCACATTGGATTAAATGTGAGTGTTCCCACGTTAAGCATCGTTCTCATTCAAATCGTACTACACATATTTATAATAAGAGATTAAAAGTATATGCAAATACGATAAATTAAATCTATATGGGGACACCCGTGGGCACTCGTGGGGGACAACAGGGTGGGGCGGGGATGAGGCGGGTCTGGGAGTAACGGGGATGGGACGGGGATGGGGGGAACTTTTTAGACATGGGGCGGGGGATGGGGGAGTGTACCCCGCCCCAAACCCGCCCCATTGCCATCCCTAACTATAACCCATCAGATCTTATTTTAACATCCAACTCAAATTAATCTTGTAAGTCTTACTCATTCAATTAATTTTGGTTAAAAAAAAAAAACGGTCCACTGAATCTTTTAAGGGAATTTCTCGGATCATATTCGAATCATCTTCCGTCGAATTCTCAATCACCGTCTCGTCTTTCAAAATTTCATTGTCATAAATCTATTTTTATTTTTATTTTTTGTCTCATTTTGTTACGTTTTCTTGAAGTGTTGATTATTGTATCTTATTATAACATTCTTTACTAATAAACTTTGTAAGTTTTTCATATTTTAATGAAAGAAACTGATTAAATAGGAAGAAAGCGTATGATTCAATCCCAACTAATATGAGCATTTCTCAGATGAAATAGGTTCATCATTTGGCAATTTTACATCTAAAATTTTGTCATCCCACGATGCCATTTTAAATATTTGTTTTTATTTCGTATTTTTTCTTATTTTGAAATAGGTATTCTAGATAGTTTAAATGGTTATAAATTTCACACATCAATTGCACTCAAAATGAAATTATCTGTAACATTTCAAGAAATACAATCTGTATCTGATGTATAGTAGCTCATGGGACCTGCTGCTATAAAGTAAATTGCACAATAAAAAATTGAAAAATTCGATGTTATGAAGAATTGAAAACGTACACATGGAGCAATTAAAAAATTAATGCTGCATTGGGAAGCCATACGTCAACTGTGTGTGCAATTACTTCACCCAATAAGGGAGAATTCATTTAGAATTTTGATCGGCTAGTTATGATTGCCTGAATACTTTTGTGAAATAAAAAATGCTAGAGGTACCCCAATTTGTACCCCAATTTGTACCTCACCCTATTTTTGTGGCTCACAAAAGCAACTCATTAAAGTTGAGCAATTCATTTATTGAAGTGGGCTTTTGTGAACCACACAAATAGGTTGGGGTACAAATTAGGGTACAAAATGGAGTACCTATAACAAGGTTGTTGTGAAATATTCCTTTGGGTTGGAGTTAATATTTTCTCGATGCACTCAACTGAGTGCTTTGATTGGAATATTCCGGGTGAGCTTCTCTATGCAAAGTTTTGGGCGGGAACTTGCTCACCAAGTTTTCTTTTGCTTTTATATAGTAGTAATAGATAGATATTTTGTTATCCGTTCATCTTAAAAGGCTCTGTGATTACTAATAATGTAATATTTAGGGATTACTTTGTAATATTCCATAATTCTGTTTTAGTATAAATATAACCCTAAGGCACCCCATAGGGTAAGCCATTATTCTCAAAAATCATATTTTCGTATATGGTATCAGGAGCCTAGTTTTTTTTCGTTTCTCCCCATGAACGGCTCATGCACATATGCCGCCGCCTCTCAGGCGCCCTTTATTCAGGAGCAGCCGACGTCCGATGTTCGATCTCAGGCGCCTTCAACTCCAGTGCGGCCTACATCGTCGACCGTCATCAGTACTACCATGGTTGATTCCGGCTCCAACAGTGCCGCAACGCTGTTAGAAGATTCCCTCCCTTCCTCTACGATGCCAATTACATCCCTGTCATGGTCACCGCTCGCCCCAGCTCTTCGGCAGCGTTTGGAATCTCAGCCTATTGATTCATATCGATTATTTGGCATGCTGCCTCCGTTCTCCTGGACTCCAACTGCCAGCCTCCCTCCACCACCGGCCATCAACACTTATCCAGAAGCAGGACCTTCCACTTTGAGATATGTTGGACCAACATTTACGAACCAGCAGGTGTCACGCCCTTAAACCCAGGTTCTGACCGAGTCAGCTTGTACACAACTACCAGGTTCTTTATCTGATTTGTCTTCTCAATTGGCATTCTCTACACCCAATGTCACCAATATTGTTA